GACCTCTACCTCCCGGCCCTTCATTCTCCGCAAGCCCACATCTGAGCATGGCTCCCCCAGCACACAGAGGGTTAAGCCAGGCTTGGAGTTGGGAGCTGGAGCCCATGGAGTCCTTCCTGACAATAAAGCTAATGAATCCCTCCTTGCCTTTTTCTCTTCCACAATAACATTTAATCATCATTTGCACAGCAGATGAGAAGTTTGCCGCAGATGCGATTCTGCGTGAGTGGCGATTTCGGTGTGTGGGCACCATTCCTGCTGTCCCCAGCACACCTGACAATCTGGGGCTGGGACAGGCTGCACCCCAGAGCAGGCGTGTGTGCCCCCGTGCCAGGGGTCTGATTCCACACATGTGTGGGAGACGGGCTTCGGAGGCATGTGTCTGTTTGTGTGTATGCTTGTGTGTGGAGTTAGGCACACGTGGCACGTCTGTGGGTGAACCCTGGGGGGCCTGCCCCAAGGTACATGTGGACAGAGGTGGTTAGGTGCCTGAGGACACGTGGCGTGAAGCGAAGATACACACACGTAGGCAGGCAGGGCCGTGGGGGTATATATCATTGCATGTGTGTGCGAGCTTGGTGTAGATCCAAGTGCTGGTTGGAGGATGCGTGCTTATTTAGATGTTATAAGTGATCATGTATATTATGTGCACACAGACCTATGTGCACACATGTGCAAACACATCTATGGGCATCATGCACTTGAATTTAGAGTTTGCAACTGATGGTTCCTGAGGCTACACATGCTTTTCTGTGCATGCATGCAAATGTGCATATGCATTATGAATGCGGTCAGGGAGCTATGAGATCGTGTGCACAAGCACATCTGAGGGGGTACACATACGTGTACTGCGTACCTGCCTGGGAGGGTCTGGGGACATGCACATGTTCATGAATGTGTCCGAGTGCATGCCTGAAGGGGAAAATGTGTTGACTCATTGTGGACGCACATGTACATGCATGTAAGAGAACACATCTCTGGAAGGCATGTATGTGCTTTGTGTACAAATGTGAGAGCTTGCCTCTGGTACATGCCTGGTGTGTGGGCATCTTTTGCAGACCTGCAGGGATACACTATGGGTGCGTGGCTGTGAGCACGCACAGCTCTGCACTGTGCACCCAGGTGGGACCATGTCTGAGGGTACACACGTGCATGTGTCATGTGCTGGTATGAGTAGGTGGGTGTGCCTGTGTGCACGCACTGAAGCGTGAACGCTCTTGCCTCAGAGTGAGGGCTGACAGGGTTACATTTTCCAGAGGCTCAGCGGCCAGTGACAGAGCTGGCCTGAGAGCGCTTGCCGGCAGGAGGTAGGTGGAGCCGCTGATTCATGACCCGGGGGTGGGCAGCGATGACGGCTGGCTGACGGATGCGGGCACTCAGCCGCCCCCCTATGACAGCAGCCCGCTCTCTGAGCTGCCTGAAGCAGGAGGTGGGAGGTTAGTTCTTGACCTGTGTGCTTGGCGCTGGCTTCCCACTTCCCTGGTGCATGTCCACAGCCACGTGCAGACACACTCACATTGCTACACACCAGAGATGCAGAGCCAGGCTGGGACTGCAGCCTCGGCCCCACCTCCACCTTGCTCCCCAGCTCTGCCATCTGTCTAGAGTGCCTCCCCTTCTCACCACTGCTTGTCTCTCCCCACACTCCCCCAGAAACTCTACTCAGAATCTGAGTCGTCTTGGTCCTGTGCAGACGCGGGGTGGGGGTGTGTGTGAAATGGTCCAGGCCCTTACAAGCTTTGTGCCCTTGAGCAAGTCCTCCTCGTCTGAGCACTGGGTCCTCATCTATAAAATAGGGCTGATGACGAACTTGCTTAAAATGAACAAGGCAATGTATGTAAAGCGCTAAACACAGTAAACAGAGTCTACCCTCCATGGGTTTTACCAACGTTAGTAATAATTACACACAGTGCTTAGAACAGCACCCAGATGCAGCAGGCACTATGTAAGTGAGCTGTCATCATCATCACCATTATCACCACCACTGTCATTGTTATTAATACCCCCGTTCTAACATTCTTGGCCAATTATACATCAATTCCTGCTAATGACCCTGAATACTCTTTTATGCTGTGATGGTGACGGTGACGGAGATGACGACAATAAAAGGGGGATTTCTTTTTCTTTTCATTTTCCCAGATGTCTTGTAGGGAGGGCAGGTGTGGTAAATGAAGGCTCTTGGTCCTCTGAGCTCCTTGATAGAGTGGGGTGTGTCCACTTAGAGCCTGGAGCTGGGGTGGCCGTGCTCTCTGTGTGACACAGGGAGCCAATTTGGAGCTCTCTGGGGCATTTGATGGGAATCAACGAGACAGATGGCGAAAGGCTGTGTGCCCCACAAGACCCTTCTCTGTGACCCCAAATTATCATAAAAGTATAAAAGCTCACAAAATGCTTGGCATTAGTGGACATCTTGTGGAACCCAGCGAAGGTGCTGGACTCACCGGATTTCAGTCCTGGGTTGGCTCAGGGCCCAAACGGAGACAGCAAGTGTGGGTGCAGGAGATGGAAGCAAAGGGGCCAGAGGGAGCGTGACCTTTCCCTCCACGCCCCAGCCCGGAGCTAGCAGAAATCAACGGGAGGCTTGAGGACTCCCACAGGCTGCAGAATGTGGCGGTGAGTGGAGGAACGACCTCTCCCAGGGCACAGACAGAGACATAAGATACGCCAGACCACGTGTTCAGGGCCTACTGTGTGCTGGGCACTGTGTGTGCTGCTGATGGTGTAGGTTCTGGGGGCCAGAACACCTCGGTTAAATCTTGGCATCTCCATTTATTAGCCGTGTGATCTTGGGCAAGGTACTTAAGCTCTTTGCGCCTCAGTTCCTCACCTATAAAACGAGGGCTACCCATGGGGTTATTGTGGGGTTAAATGAGTTAATTCACCTGAAGCGCTTCCATCAGCGCCTGGAGCGTGGGAAATGCTTGGGAAGCCTCGGCTGTTATTATTGCATTTATCCTCACTACAGCCCCATGGAGTAGGTGTTCAGAGTGTGTGCATTTGATGGATAAGGAAACAGAGGCCCAGAGAGGGTAAATAACTTGTCTAAAGTCACACAGCTGGTAAACAGTGGTGCCAAAGGCTCGGAAGATGAATTCAGATGAATAGTGTTCTCTATTTCCGGCAAGATCTTTAACTCTGCGTGACCTTGGGAAAGTCGTTCCCCATGTGTGGGGTTTGGGCAAGATATTCAAAGCTCCTTGTGACTCCACGTTTGTATGTCCCTCTGGACGCAAAACCTGTCTGTCACCTCCTTCTTGGCAGGGTCGGAATCTGTAGAAGGAATAGAATCAACCCGTGTTGTCCCAGCTCTGTCCTGTACCAGCTGGGTGACCTTGAACCAGTCACTCTAGTCCTCTGGGTCTCAGTTTCCCCCTCTACAATGGAGATGGCAATAACCAACCTCAGAACTGTTGAGATTGTCAGGATTCTGTACATGAGAGTCAGGATCACATAGGTGAGAGAGGAGATTGCACTTCTCCCCATTGGTCCCCAAGTTACCACATCCATTTGTAGCCCCAGCCATAGGAACCACGGGTTAAGGGTCCTACATGGGATGAGCTGAGGGTCCCGCTATTCCCCCACTTGGGCCTGCCATACCAACCTCATTTCCCCACCATTAGCCACCCTCAGTGGACTTCAGGAGACATGTTCAAGTTGAGCCAAGCATCAAGTTTCTTTGCCTGGCCTTCAAGTTCTTTTCCCAACCTGCCTCCAACCAGCCTCCCTGCCTCACAACTTACCATTCCTCCACCCGGTGGTCCAGCCCCTGGGACCACACACCATTCCTGAGGCTGCCACATGCTTCTTGCCTCTCCTCACCCCCAGCCTTTGCAGACGCTCTTCTCTCTGTTTAGAATGCTTTTGTTTGCTTGGCCATCTCATACTCATTCTTCAAGATCCAGTTGGAGTCACCTCCTCTGGGGAGCCCTCCAGGAATTATTCACTCTTACTTCAGTGTTTCCAGGACCTTGTTCTGTTAATTCCGCTACAACTCTTACCACACGCATTATTACTAGCTGCTTCTGCACACCCCTCCCCCCAAACTGGGCCTGGAGTTACTGGAAGGCAGGGACTACTTATGATCCGTGTACCCTTGGGCAGTTTACTACTCTCTGAGCCTCAGTTTCCTCACCTGTGAACTGTGGCTGACAGTATCTAACTTAGATGAAATAATACAGGTAAGGCACTCAGGACATAATGACCATCTCTGGATCTGTCACAGTGGACCATGGCAAATGTGGTGGGAATGGATGAATGCTCCCTGGGAGGGTAAAAAAATAAGGCTAATGAGCATTTATTGAGCACTTTTCAATGTGTCAGGAAGGCACTAAGATCAGAGCTTAACATTCATTATCTCCTTTAAGCCTCTTAACAACCCTTTAAGGGAGGGACTATCATTAGCCCCATTTTACGGATGAGGAAACTGAGGCCTCAGCAGTTGAGGACCTTGATGAAGGATGCCCAGCTAGCAGGAGCTGGAATTCAGAGCCCATCAATATGGAATGAATGAATCACTTGCAGTGGGGAGGAGGACAAATAACCCCTATCTCATAACCAAATGGTTTTAGAGCTCTTAAGAGTCTTTTAGGCTCTTAGAGATGCCTTAGCCCTGGGCGTCCTTAACTTGGGGTCCATGGATGGGGGGGAGACTGATGGGTTCTGGGAACAGATAGATAAAGTCCCCACTGCACCCAGTGGCTTCCAACCCCTCCATCTCCTGCCAACCCTCCCACCTCATCCTAGTCCTGGAGCCACACAGCTTGTCGTCTCTTGGCACCTCTACCAGATTTCCTGTTCAGTGTCACCTGAGACTCCAGAAGGCTCCACAGTCCCTGGGAACATCCCTATCCCCCACTCAGGGCGGGAGCAGGACCCACAGTTGGGACCATTTCCTGATCCCTTGGAGAGGCTGGGAAAAGGGGGAGGGCAACTGGTCCAGGGAGAGAGCTCGGACCTGGGAGGCAGACATCTGGGCTTCTAATAACTATAAAGATAATAACAGCATCAAAAGCTAACATTTATTGAACACTTACTGTGTGCCAGGCACTGTCCTAATCACTTGACACCTCTGAACCCTTTCTAACCTCACACCTCCTGGAGGTAGGGTCCGTTATCAGCCTCATCTGACACGAGGAAACCGAGGCCAGGAGAAACGAGGTAACTTGTCCGAGGCCAGGCAACTAGTAGGTGCCACAGGCGCCACGGTTCACTGGCTAGGTGTCCTTGGACAGGTCACAGCCACTTGTATGGCTTTCTCCATCTGTTACCTGCAGGGCCCCACCTCACAGTTTCTGTGACGACTAAGATGGTCTCTCCGCAGTGTCCCAGCACACAGTAGGCGCTCAGTAAATGAACAGCCTTTCTTTCCTCTTAACTCTGATGGGGGAAACCTGGGGGCCACCCCGGCAGCGGTCCTCCAGGGTCCTCCCCCAGGCCAGCGGTGAGTAACCCGGCCCTTCTCCACGAAGCAACGCCACCATATCTCCCTCTCTAACCCCAGAGCCACGCAGCGCCCGGTCTCACTGCAGTTTTAATGACGTCGGTCATGATTCCCGCACCTCTGGGCGAAAGCTGCACCCCTCCCCCGGGGGAGGGAGCATCGGGGGTCCGCCCCCAACAAGCCCCACCTCCTGTCCGGCCGCCCTGGGAGGGTGGGAGTGTTGGGGAAGGGGGTGAGCAGGGATAATGCTTTGTCCTCGGGCCCGGGGGGCCTGGGTGGCTAAGCGGCCGCCCCCGACGGCAGGGCGGGGGGCTAGGAGGCCTGGGCCTCGTCGTCCGCGCGGTGGCCGGCGTAGAGCGCGGCCAGGGGCCGGAAGCGCGGGCCCCAGCTGCTGAGATAGGCGAAGTCCTGCTCGGAGCCCGACGAGCCGCTGTGCAGCGAGCTGAGCGAGGCGGCCGGCGAGTCCGCGCCCTCGAAGGCGTAGGTCTGGAAGGCGTCGTAGGGCGGCACCGACAGGTCCCCGTCCGCCAGCGCCACCTTGCGGCTGATGAAGTCCCTGAACACCGAGAAGTCCGGCTCGGGGCCCGGCGGCCCCTGCGGCAGCGAGTGGCGCTCCGAGGGCAGGTGGGCCTGCGGGGGGCTGCCCGCGCCCCCGCCCGGGCCCCCAACGCCGCCCGCGTCGCCGCCCTTGAGCTCGCCGAAGTCGTAGAGGCTCCGCAGCGCCGACATGTCGTAGGCCTCGGTGTCCTGCTCGCCGCCGCCCTCGTCGTTGTATTTGATGACGTTGTCCCGCATGTCCTCGTCGTCGTCCGAGCTCAGGTGGCTCTTGTGGTGGCGCCTGAGGGTGAGGATCAGCAGCACGAGCACTGCGCGGGAGAAGGAACGGGCCTAGTGAGGGCCGGGCCTGCCCAGGGCGCCCCGGGGACCCCCCTCCCTACCCAGCGGAGCCGACTGGTGCAAATGTCCTAGATTTCTGTTCAGAAAGACCTTTCTTACAGTCAGAACTGAGCTGGCTGTCTGGATAGGGAGTGAGCTACCCATCTTGGGAGGTGTGCAAATCGAGGCTAGACCACCACAGGGTGCTGCCGGCACACACAGCAGTGTTAACAGATTTCAGGGGTGAGGAGGGCTGGACCCGACCTCTGAAGTCTCCATCCTCAACTCTGTGAAGAGATAGAGTGCCTGAGGTCTCTAGGCACTGGGGTGTGTGAAGGAGGCGGCTGCGGGCTGGGGGAGTGAAAGATGTCCTTGCCCCTGACCTCTCTTTCACCCTCGCCCTCCTCTGTCCACTCCAGAAGTCCTGAGCACCCTCCCAGCCCTTCGAGTCTCAGGTCACATGCCTCCTGCAGGAGCCCTTCCCTGAGAGCCGCGGGCCAGGCTCAGTGCCTTCACCTCCAACTGCCCTGCTGAGGAGTTCTTCCCTCCATCACACTGGTTCTCAAAGTGCGGTCCCTGGACCAGCAGCATCAGCGTCTCCTGGGAACTTGTCAGAACTGTGAATGCTCAGGTGGGACCCAGTCTCAGTAAGGCCTCCAGGTGATGCCCAGGCAGCTCAGGTTTGGGAGCCACTGCTCCGTCACAGCACAGACCCTGCTGTGTTAGCATGTCTGTCTCCCCCCACCCCAAAATACACACTCTCAACCACCCGAGGACCTGGGGAGTGTTCCCCTAGCTTGGTGCCTGGCATGCAGTGAGCGCGTGAAGCATGCTTGTTGAATGAATGACGAATGAAGAGCTGGATGGAGACCTGGATGAGTGGAAGGATGAGTGAAGGAATGAATCTTCTCTTCTTGGCTTTCTTCACTTGACTTTCAGGACTCCACATTCTCTTCCTCCTCCCACCTCACTGATCACTCATTCTCAATCTTCTAAGTAGGACCCTCCTATCCTCTCCGACTTCTTAATGTCAGATGTCCCAGGATTCAGTCCTTGGTCCTTTCTCCACACCCCTCTTTTGGCGCCCTCCTTCCGTCTCATGGCTTTAAGTTCCATTTAGAGGCTGACACCTCCCATATCTCAACCTCTAGCCTGGCCTTCTCCCCTGAAACCTAGATTGTATGTCCAATTTCCTACTGAACAGGTCCTCTGGGTTGACCAAGAGAAGCTCAAACTTAATATGTCCAAATTTGAAATAATAACCTTTCCTCCTTCCCCACCCTCAGTCTCCCCCATCCAGTGATGGCAGCCCCAACTTTCCAGTTACTCAAGGCTTTTACTCTCTTTTGTTCACCGATGAATCCCAGTACCTAGAAGAGTTTAGCACACAGGGGGACTCACCAGATGGATAAATAAGGAACTGATGAAGTGTTGAGAGAATTAAATGGATAGGTGGGTGGACGGATGGACAGACGTGCTGGGTACTATGCCAGGCATTGGATTCTTCTCGCTGCTCCAAACAGTTCTGGGCCAGTGGCCAGAGCCAGCTGCTAAGGCCATGGGGCAGAGTGCCGGCTCGCGACCTAACAAGGTGGCTCATGACAGGGAAGGTAGTGGGAGCCAGGAACAGGTCTGAGGGAGGGGAGGTGTCAGGAGAGAAGTGGGGAAGATGGATGGACGGCTTTTGGAGCTGGAGGCCGGGAGCCGTGGAGGGGGATGCCCGTGAGAGCAGATGGTGCGGAGCACGGGCGGCGGGCGACAGATGTGCCAGGCCTGATCAGCGATTCCGCCCGTCACCTTTAGAGCACTGATGTGCACTTTCTTCGTTTGTGGGCAATTAGGCAGAAATTTGTTTGCACTGCCTCGGAAAATGAAACCACTGTAAAGTGCACCCTCTGGAAAAAGGGTTTCTGAGCCATGGGCTGGGGTGGAGAGAGAAGGGGGGCCTGGGCCTCCCAGCTAGGAGCCTGCCCAGAGCCTCTGCAGGGACCTAAGGAGGGGCAGCTTGGCCACAGGCAGGTCCTCGGGGGGCGGGCAGCGGCCACGCCAGTGGTAGGCAGCAAGGGGCGGGAGGCAGCCAACATCTCCCAGGGAACTGAGCAAAGCTGGTATCTGCAGTCCGGACCTCCCGTGAGCTCCTCTAGCTCTGCCTGTTCCGTGAAGTCACCATTTAGCTCCTGGAACTTGATCTCTTCACTGGGGACACTTTGGGGGTTCAATTGGCTGCTGGTGGAACTGATAGTAGATTTTGCCTCCCAAATTTTTAAGATTTTGCCCCAGCTGCCCTAAAGTTTTGCCCCCAGTTTAGATTCGTAGCAGGTGAGGTAGTTAAAGGAGCAGGGAACACAGGATGAGAAGACCTGATTTCAAGTCAGAAGACTAACTCTACCCTTAGCCTCTCAGAGCCTCAGTTTCCTTGTCTGAAAAATGGGGATGATACACCTGGCTGAGTGGTTGTGAGGTTCACAAGAGCCCTTTTTACTAAAACTCCTACATAGAGAATAAAAAGGGACAATAGACACGAGCGGACTTATAATATGCTTAGTTTTTAAAAAGTAGGGAGAGTTTGGGCTGTGTAGAGGGCGGGTCAGCATGAGCGAGTCTCCGGTGGGGGTGACACCATCTGAAGCTGGTGGTGGGGCTGCTCCATACTTAGAAGACTTACAGGACCTGTGCAGCTTGGAGATCATTCAGGCCAGCCCTTCCTTGTGTGGAGAAGGAAACAGAGGCCCCGGGGGGCTACCAGAGAAGGAAACCCAGGGCCCCAGGCTCTCGGTGGACTCACCAATCAGGATGAGGACGCAGACCAAGAGGGCGATGAGGGCGCCGGGGCTGAGGGAGGCAGCCATGACGAAGGCCGTGGTGTTGCAGGACTGGATGGCGCCGGAGCTGTCGCAGCCACAGACGCGGATGGTGAGCGTGCCCGTGCTGCTCAGCGTGGGCGGCCCGCGGTCCACCACCAGGATGGGCAGGAAGAACACGTCCTGCTCCTGCCGGTTGAAGCCCATGTGCTGCGTGTGCACGGCGGCCGTGTTGTCTGTTCCGGAAAAAGGCAGTGGCGTGTGACCTGGGGTCTGGGGTCAGCCTCCCCTGTCCCCGCCACCTCCTGATTCTCCCTCGGGATCTGCCTCCCTAGGCCCCAAGCTTCTGCCATCCAGCAGACCCTAGGGTCTATCCCCCAATCTCCCAAAATTCTGTTACCAGCTGTCCCCAAATTCTGCTCCCAGCTGCCTGAAGGTCCTTTCCCCAGCCATACAGCCCACAGTTCTGTCCTTAGCTGTCCCAAGATTCTATTCCCAGCTGTCTCAAGATTCTGTTTTCAGCTATTCCAGGATTTTGTCCCCAGCTGTGCCAAGGTCCTGTCCCTGGCTATGTCAGATTTTTTTTTGCTCTTTGTCTCAACAGGCTGTTTTTTTTTTTTTTTTTTTTTTTGTGAGGAGATCAGCCCTGTGCTAACATCCGCCAATCCGCCTCTTTTTTTGCCGAGGAAGACGGCCCTGGGCTAACATCCGTGCCCATCCTCCTCCACTCTATATGGGACGCCGCCACAGCATGGCTCGCCAAAGCAGTGCGTCGGTGCGCTCCCGGGATCCGAACCAGCGAACCCTGGGCCGCCGCAGCGAAGCGCGCGCACCCAACCGCTTGCGCGACCGGGCCGGCCCCTCAACAGGCTGTTTTTGTTCCGGATTCCACCCCAGCTGCCCAGTGCACCCTGACCCTGGGCCTATGGTCCTTGGGTTGTGGCTTGAGGGCCCTGGTAAGTCCTGGGTCATCAGAGAAGACTGGGGACGCTGGCTGGCACCCGCCTTTGGCTGAGGGAGCTTTCTATCAGGAGCCTCTCTAGGAGCTGAGCCTGGAGGGCTGGGGCACGGCCCCGGGGCCTCATGGGGGGACCCTAGTGCACCGAGGTCCCCTCACCCACCTCTTTCCTTTTTACACATGTGGCCAGAGAGCACAGCAAACTAACAAGTCGTACTCATGGCTGCTTCAGCCTGTTGCTGAGAAGGCCAGGCAGGCCTCAAGGGGGTGGGTGTCTGGTCTTGGAGCACAGGCTTACACGGTAGGTGGCACCCGCTTCCTCTGCCCTCCTGCCTCCTCCACACCTCTCCTGTATGGCCAGGCATCCCCGACTCTGATCATTTCGAGAGTCCTTGTCCTTTCAGCCGGGCTAACAATGTGGTGGTACAGAAGTACTCAGAGCCCAGCTGGCTGCTGCCCCCACCCTTCATAGCCAACTCCACAAAAGGGTGCCCCGCCTTTCCACGGGGGCCCAGGCCTCTCTCCTGAGTCCTTCTCCCTGTCCTCGCAGTCTTCAGGCTGGTCTCTCGGACCTCAGACTTGGGCAGCCTGGGTCCCTTCGCCAGCTTTGTGGCCCCACTTAACCCAGCTCCTCCCCGCAGCCCCCAATTCAGTGCTCTAGTCCTGGCCTTCCCCATCACGGACACAATGCAGGAAAAAGAGCCCTTGGAAGGACTGACTTGTGACTTGGGCACATCTGTGAAGTGCACTGGAGGCCCCGCTGAATAAGATTGGTCATAGGTTGAAGCTCGTGTGATGGGCACATGAGGGTTCATGATATTACTCTGTCTACTTTTATACACATTTGAAAATTTGCATAAAAATATTAAAAAATAATGCCGAGTCGATCATTTACTAGCTTGGGAAACTCAGCTTATCTGGACTTCAGTTTCTCATCTGTAACTGAGGAAAATAGCGTCATGTAGGTGCAAGGATTAAATGGTAAAATTCATGCATAGCCCTTAGAACACAGCACACAGAAATTCTCAGCACACAGAAATTCTCAATGAATGCCGGTTGTTACTTTTTCCAAGCCCCCACCCCCACATCCCCTGTGCTGCACCGTGTGCCCGCTCTCTGTCTAGGCTGCTCTGCCTTTCTTTACTCACCAGGTGCCCGCTGGCTGGAACACCCTCCCCACCTCCTGCCTGGGCAAATCCCTCATCCGTCATGCTCCAGCTAAATGTCACCTCCTTTCTGTGGCCTCCTTTCTCCACTTCCCTGGGAAGGAAGGATTTATGGCTCCCCCTCCCTGCTCTGACTACGCAGGTGCCATGCACACTTCTGTTACAGCACTTGTCACGTTGCGTTGAATTAGCGTGTGCCTGTCTCTTCCCTGGCACTCAGCCAGTCTTGAGGAATGACGCTTGAATGAACCACAGCTTTTGGGGTAACTGGTGGTCCCGGGTGAGCTCCTCAAGCTCTGGTTTGAACTCTAGCCCTCCTGTCAAAGGGAGAGTCAACCCTGGCTGTGAAAACATTTGCCTTCCCCTGGGGAAGAAAAGCTCAAGAGCAAGATGAGGAAAAGAGGGACTGGTGTGGGACTCCTTTGCATTGACGGCAAGCTTTTTATGCATCAAGGGCTGTGTGGATACTTTAAATACATAGTAATGTTTAATCCTCACAACACCAAGAGTTGTGACATTATCCCTATTTTATGTATGTGGAAGTTGGGGCTCAGAGAGAAGTGACTTGTCTGAATTTACCCAGTGAATTGGTGGCAGAGCTACCTTTTCCATCCACCCATCACATCATCTATCCACCCATCCATCCTCTATCCATCCACTCACCCATCCATCCATCCATCAAATCATTTATCCATCCATCCTCTATCCATCCACCTATCAAATCATCCATCCATCCATCCATCCATCCTCCACCCACCCATCCATCCATCCATCCATCCATCCATCCATCCATCCATCTATCCATCCATCCTCCACTTATCCACTCACTCATCCAGTAACTACTATGTAACTACTATAATAACTACACAGTTACTACTATGTACTAGGCACCATGCTAATCACTAGGGGGAAACAATGGAGAGCTAAACCAACCATAGTCCCGGATCTGCACTTAAATTCTAATGTGAGAAACAAATGTTAATCAAATAAACCCACAATTTAGTCTACAATTACAAACCATGGTGAGTGCTAAGAAGGAAAAGTATAGGAAGAACACCTAGTAGAGGACCTGACCCTGCCAAGAGTCAGGGAGACCTTCTTGGAAGAAGTGATATTATTGCTGAGCCCTGAACGATGAGTTCAAGGAGAGGGAACAGCCCATGCAAAGGCCCTGAGGTTGGAAGAAGCATGATACACTCAAGGAACTGCAAGTGGTCCTTCGTGGCTGGGGTGAGGAGGGTGATGGCTAGAATGAGTCAAGATGAGACTGGAGGGGGAGGCAGGTGCTCATCATGGAAAGTCTTGGAGGTGATGGGTTATTTTCCTAAAAGCACTGGGACGCCATTGATTGATGGGTTTTAAGCAAAGAAGTGACCTAGTGACATATCATCCATTCATTCAATAGCAAATACTAATTGAGTACCCTCTACATGTCAGGACTATTCTAGCCCCTGAGGATACAGCAATGACCGAGACAGACATGGTCCCTGCCCTCACTGAACCTACATTGTAGGCAAGGGAGCTTCTAATCTAAAATACAGGAAAGGATGTGGAGGACCAGTTAGGAAGCTACTGTGTGTTTTAGGTGTGAGAGAATGTTGGTAGTGGAGGCACAGAGAAGTAGACAGATTTGAAAAATTAGTGGCTGGCTCTGGCTCATCTTCAAATTCCCCAACAAGAACAGAGGAGTAGAGAGGAGATGTTTGTTTTTCAGGGTTGCTGTCTTTGGCCACGGAGCCATATGTTCTGAGAGCTCTGGTCCCTGTCACTCCTCCACTCCATAGCAGGGAATCCCTGGGCATCATCTCTGAAGGCCCTGAGCTGCTCTCCTGGGCGGCCACTGGCTTCAGTTGGGGAAGCTGCTGACCAGCCCAGACCCCTACGCCACCCTCTAGGCGGGATCTGCGGCCAGCACTGCGTCCATCCATCTGGCCTGACATCCATCAGTGTCAATCCCTGGCTGCAAAAGCAATATTTATAAATCATGTTTCCAAACCGGCTACAAATTTGTACAAAGAAACAGATGGGTTGGGGTAGCCATTTGTCACCAAGATATTTATACAGTGAGGAGGAGGGGGCTTGGCACACGGCGGGAAGGGGACTGGAGGAGGGGACGTTCCATGGCTGTGCTGACCCCAGCACGCTGCTGCCACTCTTGCTCCCAGGTCTCATAGCAGGAGCTCGCACTAGACAGAGCTCTGGCAGCTCGCTGTCAGACAGAGGCAGCTGGGACAGAACCTCAGGCTCCGTGGGTTTGCAAAGACTTGTGTGCTTGGTGAGGTCAAGCCCGGGCTGTCTGTGTCTCCTGGGGCCCGCTCAGGGTGCCATTGAAATAACAAGCAGGCAGGGCATACCGGTTATTAAAATATTGAAATTCTTCCCAAAAGGTTGATATAGCCATGACTCTGAGCCCCCCAAGTCGTTCCCTGTGCCTTTCCCCCAGGCACACCCCCAACTTTGACAAAATCAGGCCATTAAGGGGTTAAAGCCTCGCACAGCAGGGGTTCGAGGGTCCTGCTCCAGGTTACTTAAGGTCAGTGTCCTTTCTGATTGGTTATCTGAACTGCACTGGTTGTTAACTATTTTTAATATAACTCTTGGAAATACAGATGGGTTTGGCTTCAGAGGCCGCTGAGGTCTTTTCCTTTGGAGGGAAGGGATGGAAAGATATCAGGGGTGATCTCAGATCTGTTCCACGGTTGGAAGGAACCAACGTGATCTGGCCCCCAGTGCCTCTCTGACTACATCTCCTCCTAGTCCTGTCACTCATTCACTCCAGCCATGCAGGTCTCCTGTTCCTTGAACAGCTCAGCCTGCTCCCACCTCAGGGCCTTTGCACTTGCTGTTTCATCCACCTGGATCATACTTTGTCCAGTTATCTGCATGGCTCACTCACTAATTCCCTTTAGATCCCTACTCACTCGTGATTCCTTCAGAGAGGCCTTCCCAGACCAACTTATTTAAAATAGCTCTACACTTATCCTGCCTTATTTTCCCCTGTTTTGTTGAACAGATTTTATTAAACACCAACTGTGTGCCAGGCACTGCTCTAGGAACCCAGGGTCCAGCACTGAACAAAACAAGGTCCAGACTCTTGTGGAGATTGCATTATCCGCACCCCCAGCCACTTATCATCCCCAACATATTATTTATTGTTTAATTTCTATCTCCCCTCACTAGAATGTAAACTCCACAAGGGCAGAAATTTTGTCTTGTTTGCCACTGTATTTTCAGGGCCCAGAACAGTGCCTGTCACATAACAGTGCCTGTTTCAATAAATGCTCAATAAATAATTGCTGAATGAAGGAGATCACATGTTCTAGGTACTAACAATATAGCTCGGGGGCCCTCATCTCCCGGCCGTCCGAGGTGGTAGGCCTTATCAGCCCCATTATACAGATGATGAAACTGAGGCTTAGAGGGGTGCAGACCTTGCCAGGGTTGCATAGAGAGCCATCGACTGAGCCTGGCTGGGACCCAGGTCCCTCACTCCCAGTCCATCGACCACACCCCTCCTCCTGTCTATTCCTCAAAGGTTCAAACTTCAACTTCCTGGGCACATTGCTGGGGCAGGTCTCACAGTGGGATCAGCTCAGGCTGGGCGGGGCAGTTTGCTTTCAAGGCAGTGAGATAAGGCAGGAAGCACTGCCGGATCTGAGACAGGTGCGGGTTTGAATCCCAGCCCGCCACTGACACTATATGACCCTGGGTTGGGTCCCTTATCCTCTTAGAGTCTCAGTTTTATCACCTGCAGGGGGGTGGAAGGGGGAGAAAAACACCTCCCAAGGTGGCCTTGAGGATGCAAAGAGAAATGGGAGTGGGATAAAGCACTTCTTAGACTGAAGGGTGGGAGTGTGTGCACAGAGCTTATTTAGGTCTTCCCTTAGACCGGGGGCTCTTTCCACGTTGGACTCTGGCCCATCCACTCCTTGTATATTCCCTGTCTGTATCTTTCCGTCTACATTCTCTACTCTTGGGATGCCTCCTCTCCACTCCACAACCCACTGCTGCTTGTTCTTCAGGGTTTGACCAGTGGGCTGGGGAACAGATCCAGCCTGGCCCGGACTTGCTGTGTGATCTTGGACTCAACACTGGCCCTCTGGGTGCCTCAGTTTCTCCATCTATAATATGGGAAGAGAGTGGGAAGGCTAGACCCCTCCTTCCACGCATCCTAGGATTTGCTGGTTCGGAGGTGACTCACCTTGGATGTCGAGCAGAGAGAAATGAGGGTTGCTGGGAGCTTCAGGTACCAGGCGGAAATAGAAGCGGTGCCCACCCTGGGGCTCGTCTCTGTCCACCACGCTGATGGTCTGGATGAGCTGAAGGGTGAGGAGGGGGCAGGGAGCTGATGTGAGGCTGAGCCCACTCTGGGCCTGGGTAGTGGGTGCCCTGGCCAGTCCTGGCAGCAACCCCCAGTCCCCAGCCCCTCAGTGGTACCTGGCCTGGCTTGGCATCCTCACATACGGCTGCCTCGTAGGGTGTGGCCAGCTCTGGGGGATTGTCATTCACATCCAGGATTCGGATCCTTAGGGATGCCCGGGATAGCTGGGCATGATTGTCTATAACAAGAGCACAGGCGTAGGGTAAGAGGCATCAAGTGCCAGATCTGGACAACCCCCATCTGCCACTAGGACAGGATTTGGCAGTGGGGTCACACTGAGAGATCTGTGGGTTGATCAAGCTGGTACTAGGACCAGGACCGAGGACATCTGGCATAAGAGGGTAATCCACTGTAACCGTCATTGCCACCATTGCTATCACCATCACTACCATTAGATCATCCCTGTAACCCTCGTCATCACTGTCACTATCACCATCACCACCATTGCCATTAGCATTGGCACCAATGGCATCATCACTACAACTTCCACCACCATAATCACCAGTACCACCCCATCGCCCTCACCACACCATCACCACCTCCATCATTACTAACTTCATCGTCATTGTAACTATTATTATTATCACTACCACCATTAAACCATTACACTACCACCATTAGCATTATCATTGCCACCTCTACCAACATAACTATCAGTACCACCATCACCATCCTCACCACTAGCACCATCACCAACGCCATCACCACACCTCTGTTTCCATCACCATTAGATCATCACCATCACTACCATCACCATTAGATACCACCATTGCCACCACCACCACCCCATCCACAGTCCACCTCCATCATCTCCACCATCATCACAAACACTAAGGCCACCACTATCACCACGCTTACCACCACCACCACCCCTCTATCACCACCATCACCAATATCACCACCATCACCAGCAATGTGATCACCATCTCCACCACAACCGCCATTACCAGCCCCACCATCACTACCATTACCCCCACCATAACGACCCCTATCACCATCACATCACCACCCCCACTCCACTCCCACCCCCACCCGCGACAACACTATCATCACCATTGCCATTCCATCCCATCGCCAGAGAGCACGCAGAATGCACCTGGAGCACCTACATCCATTATTTCAGGTATCCTTGCAGAAATCCTGTGGTTTGGTACAATTTATAGCCCTGTATTACAGAAGAGAAACTAAAACATGGGAAAGTTTAAAGAATTGGCCAGCTGGCAACTGAACTCCCAAACCTCTGCTCTTTTAAGACCCGATCCTGAGGGGCAAGACCAATTCACTGGAGGTGGCTCTCGGCCAGCCCCTCAGCAAAACCATGACGTCCCCACTCCTCCAACTGTGATGTCTTTGAGGTCAAAATCTCTGTTGTATTAATCCCCTGGGTCCCCGGCATTGTGGGATATGGCACAGAGTAGGTTCTAATACATTCCTTGAATGAATGAATAAAGCCTGGAAGGAGTTAGACAGAAAGAGGCTTGAATTCCAGGCATTTTGCTCTGTCCTTGACCAAGGTTTGATCTGTGGTCAGACCTTTCCCTCTCTGACATCAGTTTCCACACCTGGAAAATGAACAGAGCATAGTGATTAAGAGCAAGGACTCTGGAGCCATGTGGTTCCAATCTCAGATCTGCCACTTAGCAGCTGTGTGACCCATGCCAGGTCACTTGACCTCTATGTGCCTCAGTTTTCTCACTAGCCAAACAAGAGGACAGATTGAGTTAATACCTGTAAAACACTTAAAACTGTGTATACAACACACACAGCAAGTACTAGATGAGGACTTGTTAAATAAACAGACGTCCTCAAAGGGTCCTTTCAGCAATGACAGTGAGTGACTCTAGGGTGTTGGGATGCCTCATCCCAGCCTGTCCTCTCTGAGCAGCACCCTGAACGATGGCCCTCTCTAGTCCCCGAACCCCCCACCCCAGACTTCTGAGTGCTCACTGGTGCCCGTCCTCAGCTGTCTCAGTCATGAGTTCATTGCTGACGTGCTCTACTCGCCAGGGACCTCAAGGACTGGAGGGAAACTAGCCCCTTCCAAGCAGTGACTGGATGGCTGGATCTCTGGCCTGGCTGGCAGAGAGCTATTCTGGGGGCAGCATGGAAACTTCCAGGCAGCCAGGAAGCCAGTGAGTTTTGGGGGGCATGGGGCTGGTCGGCTGCCTCTTTCTCTGACCTCAGTGGCTCGCTGGACGCTGACTGCAGCTGCTTGTGTGTTGATAAAGAGGGAAATGGAGATCGGGAGGCAGGTGCGGCCACCTGTGGGTCTGGGTCTGGACAGGAGGCAGGTGCGGCCACCTCCTGGGGGGTCGGGGAAAGGAGGAGGGGGGTGAGTCCTTTATTAACTCAGCCCCTGACCCCTCTCTGGAGCTCCCCTTAGCCAGCGCCACCTTATCTTCTCAGCTCACCCAGATCTGCCGCTTCAGCGATTAGAGGGGGCTTCTCCGGGGGCGAGAGATGGGAGTCGTGACTGGGAATGCCCGGTGAGCTGTTATTTTTAAGAGCGGGTTGCTGGGGAACTTAAACAGACAGACGGCGCTGCTTCTGACGGGGAGGCGAGGGGAGGGCCGCCGCTGGGAACAGACACCTCTCCCCGCTGAGGTAGAGGGAGGGTGTGCAGGGGCTGGAGGGAGAGACAGGTCCTCTGAGCCATCAGAAGGGAACCTCAGAGCAGGACGAGTTCCTCATGGGCAGACACCCTGCTGGAGGGCTGGGCCCACTGCGGGTGAGACCCCCATTATTGCACCTTTCCTATGGGTTCTGCTGGCCCTCTTCCTCTTTTTTAAATTTCCAGCTTCATTGAGCTACAATTGACATATAACATTGTGTAAGTTTAAGGTGTCCAACGTGATGATTTGACACACGTATATATTGTGAAATGTTTACCACAATAAGGTTAGTTAACGCATCCTTCACTTCACGTAATTACCATTTTGTTGTTGTCCTGCCTCCTCTTTTAAAAGGTCATAGGTCACCTCTTGGGAAAGCCCTGAACCCGCTGGCATGAGTGGGGGTCTCAGATGTAAGAGGTGGGGCAGCTGAGTGAGCACTGAAGAGGTGAGCCTCTGCATCGCTGAAGGTGCCACCTGCAGAGCTTATCCTGGGGACCCCAGAATTTGGGGCTGGCCTGGACCCCCCCAGAGCTTGTGGGCAGCCCTAAGTTAGCATCCAGTGCCCCTGACATCACAGCAGTCCCCAGCCTGGCTGCATGTTCGACTCACCTGGGAAGGCTTTAAAACACACCGATGCCCACGGCCTGGTCACTCATGTTTTTTAACAGCTCCAGGAATCAAGTGTGAAGCAAAGGTTGCCAGCCACCGCCCTGGGGTGACTGGAAGGTCGGGGAGTCCAACCTGACGTCTTACCTCTGACTGACTTCCTGCAAACCCCTCCCGATCACAGTTAGCATCATTTGTAATACCGGATAATAATAATTCATAATTGTACCACCTTAAATGTTTCTGGTGTAAAACAAGGAATCCATCCATTAATTAATCTTCACTTCTGTGCAGGACTTTCCAATTTGTAACAAACTTTCTCATCTATGACCTCATTTGATCCTCAAAACAACCCATAAAGGAGGTTTTGTCAAACACATTTTGCAGATGAGAAAACTGAGGCCCAGAGAGGGCAGGATTTTGCCCAAAGCCACAGGGGAGTCAGGAGCAGAGCTCGGCTGGGTACTAGGTCCCCAGACTCTAAGTCCAGGGTTTGGTCCAAATACAATGCCAGTGGACCCTCCTGCTGCCTGGACATCTGTCCATCCCACAGCAGCTGCTGCTCGGACCCAGGCCCAAGCCGACCTCACCCAATGCCCAGCGGCAGGTGCCCTCTCCAGGGACCGGGTCCCCCATGGGTCCCACCCTCCCCCTTGGCTTCTCAGTTCAGCTGACTGACATGCAAATTAGTTTAATTATTTCTTCTTCTAAAATAAATTATATTTTGCAGTAGCTGCAATATGTTGTGTCAGGCAAAATTACATTCAATATTTTTAAACTAATTGATGCAGCCTTGAGGAAGGCTGATTGACAGCCCAGAGCTGAGCAGGCCTGCAGCCTTAACCGATTCCTAAATTAAAATTAAACGTGCTTCTGCCCTGTGCTTCCTCCTGGAGCTGGTTCACCATTAATCTGGGGAGGTGGCAGGTGAAGCCCCGGGGGGCCGAGGAGGCTGGGCAGTTCAGTGGGTGCTTCGGGAAGAGGTCAGACTTGGGGCAGGAGAGCTGCTGTGCAGTGTGAGCAGGTCTCTTACCTTCTCTGGACTGCGGAGCCCCTTATGTATAATGGATGGGGATGGGACTGGGCAACCCGGAGCTGAGACTTCTGGCTTTTGCTGACAATTATGGATTGAGCGCCTCCTTTGTACCAAGGACACAACAGCGAACGAGACCAACACGGCCTTTCAGTCTAGTGGCAGGAACAGACAGTACTCCAGACTGTGATAAGAGTTGAAAGATAAAAGTCCAGGAGCTGTGAGAGCATGGAGCGGGGGTCCCGCCCTGGCGGGGTGCAGGGATGTTTTCCCTGGAGTAAGTGACTTTTAGGCTGAGATCCAACGAGGAAGTAAAGGAGGTATTATTAAACCCATTGTTAAACCAATCAGATGAAGGGGACGGGAGGGAAAGAATGCCCCAGGGAGTGGGAGCAGAGTGTGCAAAGGTCCTGGGGTGGGAGGGGAGGCTGTAGATAATGGGACTCTGGATCCCTTCGAAAGAAGAACCCAGCCCCTGGCAGTCGCTCACCTGGTATCTGAACCAAACTGGGAAGGGAAGAGGAGATGGGACCTGGCCTGGTGACCTTGTTAGGGCACGCCTAGGAATGTGCTCCTTCCCAGAAGGACACCAGCAAACACATACCAGGCACCTGCCACGGGCCAGGGCTTGTGCTGCCTCATTTTACCCTGTCAACCATCGTGGGAGTAGAGAGTAGGATTATTGACATTTTATTGATGAGGAAACTGGCCCAGAGGGGTAAAGAACCTGCCCAACGTCTCACAGGGAATAACAGGTGGAGATGGGGCTCGAACCTGGATCTGGTTCCAAAGGGGGAGTTTCTAACCACCAGATGACACTGCCTTTCTTACCATCTTTAGCTGTCAGAGTCCTACTTGCCTTCAAGGTCCCCAGCAAATGTCCCTGCCTCCTCCTGGAAGCTTCCCTTGACTGCCTCAGTCCTG